CATTGTTAACGCTGGTCCTGGTTTCCTTCAGGTGGTAAAGGGAGGCGGAGATTGGAGAAATGGAGAGTGGTTTAATTTATGGACACATTAGAAGGGCAGCTGTTTAACTTCAATGCAGGGATGCCCATCCAGAGGACTGGGCCATAAAGATAAAGATGCAACAAATGGGGAAAGACAGACCTGCTAGATAAGGAATGTGAAGATCCCCCACTCAGTAGCAAATTAAGTGAGACAGCCGAGAACTGACCAATCACAGAGAGACTGGTGGAGCTTTAGAATAATGAGGGAAAGAAGGTCTATATTCCCTGAGACACGACTCTACTTTGGCTTCCTTGCCCCTCCCTGGCCTGGTTCCCTGGCCTGGGAGTCCCACTTTATTTCTGTTCTTTTTCTTCTCAATAAACTTTTTCTTTCTCTAAACAAACTGCCTCTTCTCGCTTGCTTGCCTGAGCGTCTGCGAAGTTCCTGCTGTGGCTTCGTGAGACACAAACCCGTGGGGGTCTTGTGGCTGGGGCTCAGCGCTGCCCCTGCAGCCTGGGATCTGTTCCTGGCTGGGAGACTAGGCCTGACAATTCCGGTATCATCACCAACTCTCCCTCTGCAGGGTGGCAGCTTCCTGCCAGCCCATGACCTGTCAAGGCCGCCCACCTGCAACCATGCAGGTCTCTCTTAGCAAAACCTGTCCTTTTCTCTTTCCCTAATAAACCTGCTCTTTAAATATAACTAATGTCTCTGTCTCGTGGAGAAACTCGCCTGGGAAACTTGCTGTGTGCCGCTGAAACGGGAGCTCTAGTGAAGCTGTTATAGGGCAGCCCTGATATTGAACGGGTTGCCTGGCTGTGGGTCCTCACCTGCGCGCTTCCAAGGGACTTATTAATACTCCACTACAGGCACACACAAAAGGTTAATAAAAGGTTTATTTACAAGGGAAAAGGAAATAAGGAAAATGTACAACTCAGGGAGAAAATAGGGAAATAAAGTCTTTAATGCGTCCTACCCGATTCGCCGACCTGGAAACCCAAAGTCACTCTCAGAGCTGGCCGGACGGATGCTGCGAGCTGGCGGAGAGCCAAAATGGGGAACCCCCCAAAGCCCACGTGTCTGCCTTTTATATCCACCTGGCTGCTTAACCCCACCCTCAGGTCCCAGCCACCTTCCCTTTGGTGGTGATGGGATTTGGAGTTCCCAGTGTCTTTGGCTTTGGCCTGGGGTGGGGGTGGAGTCCACAAAGCCTGTATGGAATTAGCTTTAGGACATCCTTTTCCCCCTAACAAAACCTTTCCCAGAGTGAACCCAAGGATCCGCACTCCAAACCCACAGACTCCAAAAACGACAACAATAGCACAGGGATTTAACCTTTAGGACATTGTTGGAGATTATATTAAAAATACCAACCCATTCTTTGTAATTGTTGCAGAAATAAATTCTAGCCTTTTACCCAGGCAGAAGAACAAGCGATGCTTCAAGAATGGTGAGGTGAGGAGAAACTTTATTGAGGCCCCAGACCTGGGTAGTCCCTAAGGTCTGAGCACTGGTCTAGAGACAAAGAGTTTCTTTTGTACACAACCACTTTACATTGATAAAGTTAGTTAGTTAGCATACAAATTCTTGACACAGGAAAAGGGGAAGGAAACAGATCTTGGAGGATGGCCTGGGGGCTCAATCAGCCTAGCAGGCTGCCAGGCCTTGTTTAGACATGCTTATTAAGGAAGCAAACTTGTTATTTACTTTACATTTCCAGGTCTATGACTCTTTAACAGGGAAAGATTTCCTTTTCTTAGCAGTTCCCTTACATAATCAGTGTTAAGATTCTGTAACTAAATATCATTTTTAGCAAGGACACAATCTTAAACTAGGAACTTATTTTATAAATATAAGTCTAAAAATAAAGAAAGCATACTGATTATCACAAGTGAAAGTAGAGAAATAAAAAATAAAATTAAATAAATGTAAGATAATAAAAGCCAATGAATAACAGACATGAGTTATTTTTTTCTAGTGGGGAAATAAATGTGAGTAGAATATAAAGAAGCAAGAAGACTCTACAGACATATTGTAACAGGGTGGTCCCCAGGAAAGAGGGAGGTTCCAGGTTTCCTGCCCCACCCAAGGGAGGGTGGAGCTGAGCAGGGAGAGAAGAAGCTGCAGGGGAGACTGAGGAAGGAAGCAGGATGGAGCCAGAAGGAGACCTGGAGGAGGCGCATGGAGCCTAGAGACACGTGAAGAGACTGCGCTTGCCTTTTGGTCGTGGACTGGGTGACACAGATGTGGGTGACACCCGTTGGGAGGTGACCATGGCAGCTTTTATCTTGATGTTGATTTTGCTCTTTTCCTTCCGGGCTTGTCTGGTTTTTTCTGACTCTTTTCTGTGGGTCCCCACTGGAAGATGCTTTAGACTTGTGGCAGGCTTTGGGGCCTTGCTCTGGGCCAATCCCATTTGGATGGAGTTTTACCTACGAGGGGACGGGTAACTTTGGGTGCTTGATTTAGAAACTAGATTCTTTGCCTTTCCTGTATTGTTTCCTAATTGTATTAAAGTTCTTTCCATTAAAGTCTCATGTTTTGTGTTAATGCGGCAGATGGCAGAACCCTATATAGAATAGGCAGGTTTGCGGGGTTTGGGCTGCCCCTCTCCCTGCCCTGTAACAATATCAATGACCCAGAAGTTAGGTCCTGCAGAACAAAATGGTTAATGAGAAAGTCAGTAGACTTGCCATGGTCTCTGTTATGGACTGAATTGTGTGCGAAAGTCCTACCCTCATTACCTCAGAATGTGATGGTACTTGGAGATTGGGGCTTATAAAGAGGTGATTAAGTTAAAATGAGGCCATTAGGGTGGGCACTAATCCTAAAGGATTGATGTTCTTAATAAGAAAAGGAGGGCTTCCTAGTGGAACAAGGGGTTAAGTCTCAGCACTATCAAGTTATTGCCAGCCACTGCAGCAAGAGTTCGATCCCCAGTCAGGGAGTTGACCCACATGGCACAGCAGACCTTTCCTGTCTGGCCTGCTACTCCCCTCAGTGTGTTTCAGTAAATCTGCCTATTCTGCTCCCCATTCTGTCTCTGGTGAGTCCTCTCACCCCTGCACCTCTGGCCTGTACCACAATCCTTGTATGAATAAATAAATACATACATAAATACATAAATCTTTTTAAAAAGAGTCTGCGGTGTTGGTTTACAGAAATTCTGGGCACTCTTTTATTAGTGATAAATGGGGAAATGCTCATAGCAACCAGTAACAAGAGTGCATTATTACATGGAGCTGGCCTACCACCTTGTGGCCATAAGCACAATCAACAGGTGCTGGAGAAATCCAGACTCAAGCTGTGCTGAATGGGATGGGGGAGCCATACAGGAGGGTTGTCTTGCAAGTTAACTAATCAAAGTCATTTAATCAGATAAAAGTAGTTTCAAAGACACCTGGAAACTTCTTAGAAATGCAAATTCTAGTTCTCCTCTAGAGTTAATGGAATTAGAACCTCTGGTTTCTGATTGGTTTTGATGCACTCTACAATTCAAGTCTCCTGGTCTCAAATCATGCCATCCTGCTTCACAGCTTTGTCACGGAGTTTCTCCTTATTCATACAATTTTTCATCATTCTTCTCACTCATGCTTTTAGGAAACAACCAGGCCCCTTGCCTATATGTCAATAGAAGGGAAGGCGTCTGAGATTTAAAATGACAAGACCTGAAAGGGAATCCCAGCCCTGTCAATCACTGGAGATCTAGCAGCAAGTAAAGAAAGGCTATGTACATATAGCTCTCTGTATATAACCCTGTCATTTCTGTTTCTCTGATTGTGACTAATATGAAGGGACAAATAATTTAGATAAATTTTTGGAAGGTCTTCGGGTCACAAAACATTTGATGTGTGTGAGGAAGAAAAACCTACTGAAGCAAAAGCAGAGACAGAGCAGTGGCACTGGCTGAGGCTGGAGAGAGAAGCTGGTAGGGACCAATGAGGAAGCAACTTGCCAATTTACACTCTGTCTTTGACAACTAAATAAAACTACACTTAATTTTGCTTCCAAAGATGCCTCACTTGCATGCTAGAGAATTTTGAGATTTGTGTTTGGTACGCAGGGTATGAAAAATGTCCAATCTGCTTTAGTCTTTATTGCTGTACTGTATTGCACAGTCATTTTAGATTCAACAGAAAATGCAGTAAGAGCCAGGCATGGGGATACCAAGATGAATTCAACAAAATCCAGGTCTTACAGAATTCAAGACAATGAAGGAGAGAAACATCTATGGGAAAAGTTACAGTATTTTAGGATTAACACTCACTCTGATAGAATTAGAGAGTAATTCTGAAAAGCAGATATGATTTCTAATATACCAATAAGGAAATTAAGATTCATAGAGGTTCAGTCACTGGCATACTTATACAGTGCTGCCTGTCAAGTAGAAAAATCTAGTCTTTGATTTGCCTATTTCTTTAGGAGAAAAAGAAAATGGGTTTTGGGAAATAAGAAATCATTTCTTGTGCCTTTCTGAAGAAAACACTTTTTTAATTTTTTTTTTTTATTTTTATATTCCCCATACAATTGCAACCCCCTGATTTTGACCCCAATCCCTCTTTTCCCCGACCCCCCAAAGTGTGTCTCTGGTTCATAGTTGTTTGTTGATTTTGATTTTTTTCTTTCTTATAGTTATTCTTTTTCCTGGTCCCTTATTTAGGTTAAGAAAACTCTTTTTTTAGGAGTCTAAAGATGGTGTTTATTGTGGTTAGAGTTACCTTTTTTTATTTATTTTTCTTACATCATTTTGGTACATTTTGTAACATTTTGTTCATTTTGGTGCATTATTTGATTTGTCCCTCGGGTGTAGTCCCCATGTTAGGGGGAAAAAAGGCAAAAAAATGTCCTGAGCTAATCCCATACAGGCTTTGTGGACTCCACCCCCACTCCAGACCAAAGCCATCAGGACATTGGGAAAGACAAATCCCATCACCATCACCACCAAAGGGAAGGTGGCTGGGACCTGAGGGTGGGGTTAAGCAGTCAGGGTTGGTATAAAACCAGACACTTGGGCCTTGGGAGGTGCCCTTTTGGCTCTCTACCAGCTCAAGGCTCTGGGCCAGCTCTGAGAGTGCCATTGGGTTTCCAGGTTGGTGGATCAGGTAGGACGCATTTAAGACTACTTCCTATTTTCTCCCTGAGTTGTGCATTTCCTCATTTCCCCTTCCCTTGTAAATAAACCATTTATTAACCTTTTGTGTGTGCCTGCAGTGAAGTATTAATAAGTCACTGTTAAGTGGGGGGGGTGGGGACCCACAGCCAGGGGGTGGGTTTTATATCGGGACTGAGGATATTACTGCCCTGTAACACCCATGGTTCTCCCACTACCATAGCCCCCATGAACCATCACTATAGTCCCTTGTGCTCTTCTCTCCCATTCTAACCCCCCTTTTCCCGTCCCCTGTTGTACACCTCAGATCTACAATCAACTTGCAAGTCTTTGTCTTTTTCCTGACCTTTTCTTCAGTTTCCCTATATTCCTCCCATAAGTGAAACTGTTATAGAGCAGCCCCGATACTAAACGGGTTCCTGGCTGTGGGTCCTCACCTGCGCGCTTTAAAGGGACTTATGAATACTCTACTACAGACACACACAAAAGGTTAATAAAAGGTTTATTTACAAGAGAAAAGGAAATAAGGAAAATGTACAACTCAGGGAGAAAATAGGGAAATAAAGTCTTTAATGCGTCCTACCCGATTTGCCGACCTGGAAACCCAAAGTCACTCTCAGAGCTGGCTGGACCCTGCGAGCTGGCGGAGAGCCAAAAATGGGGGATCCTCCAAAGCCCACATGTCTGCCCTTTATATCCACCTGGCTGCTTAACCCCACCCTCAGGTCCCAGCCACCTCCCCTTTTGTGGTGATGGGATTTGGAGTTCCCAGTGTCTTTGACTTTGACCTAGGGTGGGGGTGGAGTCCACAAAGCCTATATGGAATTAGCTTTGGGACATCCTTTTCCCCCTAACAAAACCATCTGATATTTTTCTTTTTCCTTCTGACTTTTTTTGCCGAGCACAATCCCTTCCAGCTCCACCCATGATGCTGCAAATAGCATGAGTTTATCTTTTTTGATCACTGAGTAGTAGTCCATTCTGTGCATATACCACAGTTTACGAGCCATTCACCTGTTTTGGAGCATTTGGGTTTTTTCCATATGTTAGCTATTGTAAATAATGCTGCAATAAACATCGGAGTATAGGTTTACTTTGACATTAGTGTTTTTGGTCCTCTGGGTAGATTCCTAGGAGTAGAATTGCTGGATCATAAGGTAGCTGGTGGGAATGCAAACTGGTCCAGCCACTCTGGAAAGCTGTGTGGAGGTTCTTCGAAACACTGAAAACAGATTCTTTGAAGAGTCTTTCAAACTCTTGATTCTTTCCATCACCTTAGTCTTTAGTTAGTTGTGCAAGCCCCAGTAGCAGGTTGAAATCAAGTGTGATTCTCTAGTGAGGTAATTTTCCCCCACAGCAATGGTCTTGGATACACAATCCTACTTTTACTGCTTTCAAAATGTATACAGTTGCATTTTAAGAGCCTCTGCAAAAGTGCTCACACAAAGCATAAATATAGTAACAATACTTTCTAAAATAGATCAAAAATGATTAAAACTGGGAACATCTTACAAATCACTTAACCTCTCTCTCATATTCCTTATAAGCAAAAGATAGAGAGAGATAGAAAGTTGCTAGTCTTAATACTCAAGTCCATTGTGACCTTTTTAGCTAAGGTGTTAAAAGAGAGGGGCAGTTAAACTCTGTCACAAAAATAACTCATTCTCAATTATAAATCAGAGACCGTCCTGCAGGGGAGGAGGAAGAGGGATCAGTGGGAGGGACGGAGGAGCACAGGGGACTGTGGTGATGGTGCACAGGTGCAGGGGTGCATTGGTGAAGGAAATTCTATGGGGACTACACCTGGGTGGGGGGAAGCAAACACTGTTTAAAAATGAACAATGATGCAAAAAAATAAAATAACTCAGTTTCTTTTTATGCTGGCAATAAAATTGATCATGGGAATTTAAGAATGTTAATGTTGTTTTATTACTATGAAATTATCATACTAAACACATTAATAAAGTCATAATTGCATCACAATTCTAAATTTTAAATTCCTTTTATAGTATGTGTCCTATATAACTTTATAGAAAATCGTTCACTGGGATAAAGGGATTCCTAGTTCTTTCGTTAGTCAATCAATGCCAGAAGCATCTAGATTAATTTGAAACATTCCGGTGGATATTCCCTAAGAGTGCACAGGTAAATCTCATTTTCTAGTACAAGCATCTGTGCCTGCTGATCAGACTTTCATTTAACAAACATTATCTCCTTTGGGGAACACATATCTCTTATGCTGGCTACAGGGGACACAGAGATAGGATTCCAGACCTTGAGGGATCTAAAATACAATTTGGAAATTAAGATAAGTTTAAATAAATAATGCAAAAAAATACAAATAAAATGTATGAACGCTTTAAAACCAGTACAGTGACATAGGATGTTACAACTACACCAGGAATTATGTTGCCAGTTTTCCAAGAGTGCTGGAGATACTGAGAACTGATTTGTAGAATATCCATTATGTTTTTCTTCCATAGAATAAAGCTTTGAGACAGGGAGCTGGTCACCTAACATAAAGGCTACATTTTCCTATTTCATTTGCAGCTAGGCGTGGCCAGGTGACTCGGTCCTGGCCAGTGGAAATAAGAGGAAGTCACCCCGTCACCTCCAGAGACCTTTCCTCAAGACAGCTGACTACACGCTATGTCCTCTTTTGGACTCTTCCACTGGCTTCAGGGAACAGATGCTGCCTTTGACCTTTAGGAGGCCACACCCAAAGGACATGGAGCAGAGAGGTCAGGAGTGGCCAGAGTCTGAGGTGGCTGAGCATTTAACACCAAACCTGGACTTGTTCCCAGTGGAATATGCAACTATTTTGTTTAAGCTCCTGTTTTTTGGTTACGTGTACCAGAGCCTAACCTCACACAGCTGCTGCTCCTGGAGAGAACAGGCAGGTAGACAGGGAGGGGCATTCCGCAGAGAGACACCTCAGATGTAAAATAACCTGACTTACATGTCTATACAGTGAACAGAAGCAACTCAGGTGCGCACAGGGCACCAGCCCAGAGACGCAAATACTTTCTGGCTTCAGTCCCTTTTCTCCTCTTGTAACTACACGTGGAATTTTCTCTGCTTTGACTCTGGTGAGGACCCACATGTGAGAATGTTGGTTAGGCCCGGATCTCCCCACCCAGGGCTCCAGGACTCTCCTTTATACCCAGTCTGCTCAGATCATAGATGACCTGCTCTGTGCCCATCCTGCCTCTACAATATATATATTGTGTATACACACACACACACACACACCTTCCTCTCTCTCTCTCTCTCTCTCTCTCTCTCTCTCTCTCTATATATATATATATATATATATATATATATGGCTATTTCTATTGGTAGGCTTTGAGTTGGTTCTTCCTAAATATCTCAGCCTGCAGACTCCAGGCTGCGACCAGTCACGGTGGGTGAGTGTTTACATGTAGTATGGCAAACAGGTACATGGCAGGCAGGGCGGAGTGGGCAGGAGGCCGCTAGGCCTCCAATCCTCTGGCAAGTCTTCACTCTGGGCTTCTCTCACCTTCTTTCTCCCCTTCTCTCTCCTGCCTCTCTCCTGCTTCTGCTTGGCTCTATGACTATCTCAATACTCCTCCTATGGCCCAGAGAAGTAAATAAGATAGTTTACAACAATGTAATGATATAACAATGTTTGTAACAATGTATGTTATCAAACTAGCTGACAAAAACAAGTTCTATAGCCCTGAGTCATCCTTAGGACAGCCTGCCACAGGCTGGAAGTAAGTCACTGCCCCTGGCAGCACAAGACCCAGGTAGACAAGACCCTGCAGGTGCCCCATCAGGCAGGGCATCCTAATGGTAGAAGAGCAGAAAAGGCTGAAAACCATTTACCCTAAATATATATATTTGGGGGCCTCCCTGGTGGCACAAGGGGTTAAGCCTCATCACCATGAAGAAATCCATAGCTACTGCAACACAAGCTTGATCCCCCACTGGGGAGCTGACCCACATGGCACAGCAGACCTCTGCTGTCTCACCTGCTGCTCCCTCAGTGGTGTATTTAAGTGGATTCGCCTATTCTGCTCCCCACTCTGTCACTGGTGAATCCTCTCATCCCCCACACCTCTGACCTGTACCCCAGTTCCTGTATGCATAAATAAATCTTTAAAAATATATAGTAATAACCTTGGAAAACATAAAAATTCCTATTTGGCAGTCAAACTGAGTAAAACATTCAACTTAGCATTTATTTTGTAATATTCAGGATGAACATTAAGTATCTGGCACAGTGATTTCTATGTAAGAGTTGGCTAATGAAGGTTTGTCCTCTGTGCCTCCCTTTCTCCTTTAATGTCCCTTCTTGCTCACTGGTGGGTATTTCAGAAGTGTGGGTGCTTGAGGGATTTGCCACCTGGGGATTCTAAAGCTGACAGGAGAAGACACCTAACTTGCGAATGAATGCTCGGGAGTGAGTTATATTTGTTAATGTGTTTACAATGTGATGTCAATTTGTCTGGACATTATATAACTATTTAATAAATAAAAGTTTTAATAAGATTCATAATGTTGATTCTACTGAGGCCTGAAAAATATTCTGTCAGCTCTGCCCCACGCCTAGGTTTTGCCTATTGCTGTGGAAAAGGAGACAGACAGTACATTTTTGAGGCTAAATGGAAGTTAGAAAATCAATTCTAAAATTTAACCAGAAAGGAAAAGAGCACTCTGCTGTCTTTCCCATCAAGTCTGAGAGCTGTCTTTGGAGACACCCAGCTCAACATGTTCATTTTCATCTTTTTTTGACTCAAATCATTCCTGTATTTGCCCATAAATGTTCTGTACTAGTACCAATGAAAGAAAAAAAGAAAGAAATCCTAGATTAGTCCTGCCAGCTCGGTTACATTACTGCCATGTTAGTTTTATTTATTTATTTTTTTAAAGATTGATTGATTGATTGATTGATTGATTTATACAAGCACTGGGTACAGTCAGAAGCTCGGGAGGGTGAGAGAATTTACCAGAGCCAGACCGGAGAACAGAACAGGCAGACCGACGAAACACATGCTGAAGGGAACAGCGGGCGTGGCAAGAGAGGTCTGTCATGCCATGTGGGACCCTAGCTTTGCAGCCAGCGATCGAACCTGCGCTGCAGAGGCTGCGGGAGCTTCGCAGCCCAGCGCTCAACCACTGCGCCACTGGGGAGGCTCTGCCATGTTAGTTTTAAATGCAATTTATGCCCAATATGCAATAATGTTATATAATGGTTTACTTTGCAAACCATTATATAATAGTGACATGATGTGATTATCAGCATCAGAAGATAAACTGGCTGTCATCACAGAGCTGGTGAAATGTTAGTATTGGGGCCCCGGCCCTGGTTCTGTTATGAGAGTAGATGCTTGTGGGTCCGGGTGTATACGGCGCTTGCCACACCAAACGTGAGAGCAAGCAGGTGTGGACTTATTGAAGCAAGAGGAAAGAACTTCCAAGGGAGAATGCCCATTTTCTCCAGCCTGACTATGACTATATCCTGTCAGACTCCCTGTTGTCCAATGCACGGAACTATAGATGAGGCACTAGGTGGTCAGGAAGTTTCGTGGTGATTGCTTTTCTGTTTCCTAATTGTCCTGTAACCGGATCTTACTCTAGGTGGTGGCTAGCTCAGCAACATTTCAATGAAACACTTCTATTTTCCTGGGAGCTGTTTTGTTCCATCTGTTCCTATAATGTTTAAAATCACTGTCCCGTGTCTCAGCCTTTCCTGCTCCCCAAGTCCTCCTGGTCTCAGTTCCTCTCAGCTCCTTCCTCCAGCTCTTCAGTAAACTCCCAAGGTGCTTCCAAAGTTCCTTGAATAGCCCTTTTGTACCTTGTGTTGTTATTTACCTTCTAATTATCTAGTCCTGGAACTGCAAGCAGCAGTCCTGCAGAAACTGCTCTTTTATCACTGTGATTTGAGCATCAACGATATGTAAGGCACTGTTCTGACCAGTTTGTATAAATCAGAGAACAAAAAAACATAGCGCCACTTTTGTGGCTCTGACAATCCAGTGACAGAAGATAGATAATAAGCTGAAGAAAATGATGCTAGCAGGTGGCCAGTGTCAGTGCAAAGGACAGAGTCCAGCCAGGTGGGAACAGGTGGACGGTGACCAGTGGCTGAGTCTTCAGTAAGGAACTCTGAGCAGGACTTGGGAGAGGTAAGAAGTTAGCCAACATTAGCATGAAGAATACTGCTTATGGTTACTTTTATTCTTTGAAATATCATGCATTTGACAAGCATCCTGCTTTTACTGGTGATGTAAGGCAACTTCAACTTTATCATAGAGTAAAAGTAGGAAATGTTTCAACTCCAGGCCTCCCTGGAGCAAGGGGTTAAGTGTCAGTGCTATGAAGCTATCCGCAGCCACTACAGCACAATTTCAATCTCCCACCAGGCAGCTAATCCACATGGCATAGCAGACCTCTCCTGTCTCCCCTGCTGCTCCCCTCAACAGTGTATTTCAGTCAGTCTGCCTGTTCTGCTCCCCATTCTCTTGCCCTCCACACCTTTGGCCTACACCCCAGCTCTTGTATGCATAAATAAAATAAATCTTTTTTTTAAAAAGTGTTTCAACTCCTACCCAAGAGTCTTGTTCTTTGTCAGTTGCTTTATGGAAGTTTTAGGTGCTAATAAGCACCTCTAAACAAATCATAAGGCTCTTAGCTGCACTGCTCTGTTGCAAATAGAACTGTCAAGAGACAGCCCACGCAGCTGAACACACACCAGAGTGGCAGCTTCGATCTTCTGTTCGTCACTGTGGGAACAGTTGCGCGCCTGCCCTGTGGCCTGGGGCAGTGCCATTTGCTTATCCAGGGACCATCACTTCCTGCTGCTACAAACTTTGTCAATAATCTGCTTGTATATAGTTACTTGCAAAAGTACTAATGGACTCATAACTGTAAGAATTAAAGAAAAATAGGGGCACAGCACACAACAGAGCAATCGGACTGACACCATCAGTCTCAGTTCTTGGGACAAAGAGTCTATTGATTTGTTGTTCTGGGGGCTGTTTCTTTTTTTCAAGTATGTTATCAAAATAGCTGACAAAAACAAGTTCTATAGCCCTGAGTCATCCTTAGGACAGCCTGCCACAGGCTGTAAGTCACTGCCCCTGGCAGCACAAGACCCAGGTAGACAAAGAGGCCTGGTGGGGAGTGGGGAGTCACTGAGGGCTGCACTGAGCAACAAACTGGACGCAAAGCCAATCAAGGCCAAAATGCACCAGTGAACCTAACTGGCTTCATGCAGAAGAAATAAAAGATGATCGTGAAGAACTTGTTCAAATCTGTCAGAATGAAAGTGTAGCAGAAAGAAAATTAGTTACAAGTTCTACAGAGCAAACACTAGGTGGCGTTCACTTATCAATTAATTTATTTTCCAGAAATGACTGAACTTGTTCATTATTAAGAGGTGACAGACCTGGAGCTATAGTCAGGGTGAGCAGGCATGGCCTGCACCCCAGTATCAAAATCACACCATACCCAAATCTGGTGGTTAATGACAGATACAATGTACAAATGTGGGCTTAATAAATGTCACCAAAAAGTGGACACGAACTGACAATATTGCGTCCAACAATATTGTGTCCAACGAGCCCAGAGACATGGGAGTACACCGCAAGGAGATCTGTCGTCACGATGACAGGGCGCCCCCTGGAGTTGTGCCAAGCAGTGCACTCATCTATCCATGTTACCTTCATGTGTAACTTAACCAGTCAGTTTGGCTCTTTTAGTCTTAACCTCTGATTTCACAATAGTCTATACAGACTTTTATTTTAGTACACAATAGACTAAAGGAACAGAACAATTCCACATTAGGGGGATGGAGGGGTAATGGAATGAAGCAGAATAATCTGCAATTAAGGAGTGGCATTCTTCTAGTCTCTGCCCCTACAGGTAAGACTTCCTAGGTCAGGCTATCACTCTCTCAACATCTCAATAGCATCCCCTCCCTACACTCTCTCTGATGGGGAGAAGCTTCTATTTTTACACTAAGTGTAAGAGCAATCATCTGATATTCTGTCCACTGGGGAACCTGTGACAGAGAAATGCAGGACACTTAATCCATCAATCAAGGCAAGAGGGTCGAGTAAGTCTACCCTAGGAAAACCCTAGATGTATGCTCACCCTACAGGTATCTGAGATCTTTCCATCAAAACATTCAGGTAAAAGCACAGGACCGTTCACCAATATTGGTGCCATACTCGCTCCAAAGCAAGAATGGGTTTACTTGACAAGTCATTCAGATCTGGCACCCCAGAGAGAAGCCTCCAGGCATCAAGGTGAGTCTTATATGGCACAGGACCCACTCAGTGAAAAGATAAGTCCTAAATTGGGTGTAGTTCACTAGGGGTACAATGGTCCAAAGATACTAGGAAGCTTTAAAGCCTGACTAGCAGGAAACCCAGGAGCAGTGCTCCAGTACTGACATTCCAGTCAGAGCATTATATTCAAAGCAAAGCACTAAAATGGGTCTGCCTTTGCCTCTCAACTTAGCTAACTTAAACTTTATGGACTCTAAAAAAATCAAAGACTGGTTTCAAATGGTATGTAATGTCCCATATACGGAAAAATTTTTTCACCAGAAGTCTAGAGACAAATAGCACTGCAACATGCAAAGGATTCCTGGGGAGGCAGAGCCCCAAATTCCAGGTCCCTCTCTTGGTGTCTGCCAGGGCCTGCAGTCTCTCCTACACATGGGGATGGCTCCCCTTAGTAGAGATGGCTGGGACCTGCTGTTTTAACACTCACCAAGTCTCATTCCCAGGTTGTGGGGAAGTCTGTTTCAAAAACATGGTTCATACCTTAATTCAAAAACAAGCTTCCATTTGGCTTTATCAGAAAACCTCCCCCAAATTTGTCTACCCTTAGTGACAGGTGTCCACTTTCAGTATTTTGATGGCAGCATGGAAACTGCTGAGAGTTCTCCATAATGTATTCTATGTGCTACTTGCTAAGCTTGCGCTATTTCTATGCCCCTCAAACCCTGACCTAACTTTCTCAAACATGACACTGGGCGTGGGTGGGATCCTGCCATTGAATTTTGGACCACCTGCTTGTTTTCTGGTGACTCCGGTTATGTTCTATAAAACTCTAGAGAGACAGACACCACCTGGGGACATAGTTCGAAGGGATTAAAGAGGGTTAGAAAGAGTTTGAAAGGGTTTTTTAAACAGAGCCTTGCATGAAAAAAAAAAAAAAAGAGCCTGGTATGGGCCTCCCCGGTGGCGCAGTGGGTTGAGCGCAGCGCTGTGAAGCTGTCTGCAGTCTCCATGGCACCGGTTTGATTCCTGGCTGGCCAGGGAGATATCCACATGGTGCAGCAGACCTCTCCTGTCTCCGCTGCTGCTCCCCTCAGCAGTGTATTTCGGTTCTTCTGCCTGCTGCTCCCTATTCTGTCTCTGGTGAATTCTGGCACCGCCCGTACCTCTGGCCTGTACCCCAGTGGTTGTATAAATAAATCAATCTTAAAAAAAAAAAGAGAGCCTTGTACTCATCTGTTTTTTCAGTGCCTCGTAACATGCACCCCACTCCCCACCCACACATAGCTTCCTGACTGAACATGGGCCTCTCACAGCATTAGAGCTGGTTCTCAGCCCCAAGCCTGATCTAGGTGCCATCTGCTGCTCTGGGCGATGGTGGTGACATACTGACCAAGATGTGACAGGGACAACAGGCTGGGTTGGGACTTACAGCAAACCCACATCTATAGAGCAACGCCTGTCAAACTTCAGGGTGCAGCAACATCACGGTTAAAAATACAAACACCTACGCTGAGATTCTGAGTCAGCTAAATGTGGGCCAGGCCTAGCCATCTGCATTTTTAATAAGCACACCTCCTCCCTCCCCACCTCCTATATTCTGCTGGAAGAAGTTTTCTGCCTTCAGCTTTGAGCAGCACAGAAAGCAGTGACAAAGCATTTATCTGCGGAGGAGAAAGTCAAACGCATACCACCACCACCGTACCACCTCGAGCTCCACCACGTTCACCTTTGCACACCAGCTCCTGGCCAGTACAGAACAGGGCAACACATGCTCATCTGATGAGATGTGAGCGTTCTATTTTAATAGCCACCCCCAAAGACTTTCTGCTCAGAGAGCCCACTCTTTCAATACTTTCTTTAAAAAAGGCAACATTTGTGGACATGGTGGGTTTTGAAAGTATGCAATTATTTTATTTCCTTGGCCTGACAGCATCAACTTTATTATACAAGAGCCTGCAGCTGACAGAACAGACCCACTGATTTTCCCCACAAGAAGGACCCTTCTCATGAGCAGAGATATTAAAATGTCACATCTGAGTGTAATTCCTGCTCCCGCCCCCACCCACGTCATACCCGCCCTTAGAGTTAAAATAAATTGGAATCAGTAGAATCCCCATGAATGACTAAAAGTCATCCAGCAAAATTTTTCTAACTAGCAGCCGCAGTACATGGAAACCCAAGGAGGGAGGCCACTGGCCACCACCGAGATCTCCATGCATGTGAGATGGAAGGGAGAATTCTGGGGCAGGGCAAAGCATGGATGCTCTGCATCACCTCACACCTGCCCCTTCCTTAAGTCATCTCGTCCCCACCCAAGGAGCCAGTTTGGGAAAAGCTGGAGGTTTGGGATTAGGGTGTTAACTGGAAATGGTCAAGGCTCATTAAAGTCAGAGGTTGGGGTAGGATGAGGGACACCAGAGAAGCAGGTTAGCTAGAGATGCTCAGTACTAAGTGAATTCCAGTTTAATGCTATCTACAGGATCTTTCTCGTGACATCCCTCACGCCTGGCCACTGTGTTCCAATAGTTCAGTGAGCCCCTTCTCAGTTTGTGTCTGACGTCTGTGGCTACCACTGGCGTAGTGCCATGACATGTGTGAGGTTACGACAGGGGTGAGGGGGGAGGTATGGAGAAGGGAGGGATCGAGGGTCAAAATGCTTAAATACAACGAGTCTCTTCTGGTCCCCTAGAGTGGTCCACTATCGCTCATCCTAAAACATTCCCTTCCCCATTCCCTACCTGACTTGTGCAAATGTCAAAAATAGAATCTCTGCCCAAAGAGATGGGAGAGAGGGAAGTGACTGGTGGTCCACCATCATCTCTGACCCCACCTTACCCACCTCCTGGCTCGTCTAAAAAAGGACACAGAAGTTAACTCGCAGCAATGCTGTGAAATTACATCATCTCCTTCGTCCAGCAAAGCTAATCCAACGGTTCTGTCCTGACATGCTTTCCCCCTGGGCCGAGGAAGCAGCAAAAAATATCAATTGAGCATGTGAAAATATGGTGACGGTGTGTGCGGTTTAGTGTTTCCAGATGTCGTCCCCTGCGTCTCCTCCATGGTGGGAGCCCCCCCTCACTTCCCCCGAGTCCCACACACACCCCTCCCTCTACCCCCGAGTCCAGGTGCTCCCTCTGCTGAGCTTCCGCCACTCACTTCCCATAGACACTCTCATCACTGTATGCCACGTACAGAAAATAGTCTTCCTCATGGTTGTCCTGGGGAGAGAGTTAAGAGGACAGTTTAGACGACATAATCATGTTCACTACCTCTAGGGTTCTCAGCCTCACACAGACCTTGTAAACTAGGTATGGGGGTTCGAACAAAAAAAAAACCTGCATGGAGAACATAGAGTTAGTTGATATCAGGGGTACAATGGACAAGGGTGTAGTGCTTAACACTGAAAAAGTGCATTCCAGCAGCCAGTAGTTACAACAAAACATAGACACGGGGTACACATGAACAGGGAACATGTGTCAAGGAATAAAAGTTAGATGGCAGGTTATGAGATGTTTATGCAATTCACCCAAGGGGCATGAAATGAAGGCAGCATCCTGTGAAATCCTTTAAGGAATAATACACTTACAATCCTAGGTGATGCAGCATGACAAAGTTCCCTATATCAAGGTTTTTTTAATTAGAGTCTGATAGTTACCAAGGAAATGAAATCACATAAATTACTCTCTCCAACTGAGTCAGCCCCATTAAACCAAATGAATCCATTTAAAGACCTTGCCTCAATTTTAGATTTCATTGTACTTTTGCATTTATGTTTTGCAACCAAGAGTCACTTCCTGCTGTTTCAAGGGAGACAAGCCAACATAAAAACATGGCAGAGCAAGGCAAGACCGAGCGAAGAATGCAAATGTACTCCTTAAATCTAGCAGGTTGCTCCAGGAGCAAAGGACCAGAGGTATCTCATCCCCCAGAGCCTGAACCCTCCATGCGGAAGAGCTCCTGATAAGCTACACCTCCTGCCCCACTTCCCAGTATGGTATCAACACACACGGGAACAAAAGCCGAAGCAAACCAGACTGTAAGGTATTGTTGTCACCGGACCATTACCTCATACAGCTGGCCCATCGTCGCGCTGGTGGGAGGGATAGTGTTGTTGACAAAGAAGAATAAAGCGTCCTCAGGTCTCAGGTGGATCCTCTTCCGAATTAAGAAGTAGAACTGGCCGACTGGAAGAAGGAAAATGGTTTTAGAAAAAGCGAGCCGGCCTGGAAGAAACCAAGGAATTAGTGAAAGGGTAAAAGTCCGCCCCCCAAAATTCTACTGCACCTGTTGCCTCCGAAGTCCTAGCTTTAGATAGAATCTGCGCTGAGACTAATACTGTCCTGCAGCGTTAGAGAAAAAGAAACTCAAGGAAGCTGGCATATTCCCTGACACGCCACTGAGGTGTTGGTTCCTCAATCCTCCCCTCTCCTCAAACTTACTCAATTGCAGACTTCGTATTAGAAAATCCACTCACGGGCCTCCCTGGTGGCGCAAGGGGTTAAGCACCGCACTATGAAGCAATCTGCAGCCTCTGCAGCATGAGTTTGATCCCCAGCCGGGCAGGGAACAACCCACATGGCGCAGCAGACCTCTCCTGTCTCACCCGCTGCTCCCCTCAGCAGTGTATTTCAGTCAGTCTGCCTGTTCTGCTCCCCACTCTGTCTCTGGTGAATCCTCTCAACCCACTCCGCATCTCTGGCCTGTACCCCAGCTCTTGTATGCATAAATAAATAAATCTTAAAAAAAAATTTTTTTTTAAAAGAAAATCCACTCAAGGCCCGCAGACAACTTGAAGGGAACACTATACACATCTAAACCAAAACATTCCCATTACTGTCTGAACTGACTTGAAACAAGTTTCCATCTCTTCTCCCTAAGACAAACTAGTTCTGGGAAGAGGTACACTGGACTCTCATCTTACCAGATGACTCATTCCAAACACTGCAACCATGATTGGGGTTCAATGCTCTACCTGTCACTGAGCATTCTGATAATGTTCTAGAAGGTTCACATGCCAAACCTAATCCCTTCGGAGCAAACACATCTACAAAATCTTTCCTCTGTTTTCTGAATTCTGTGGTTATTCCACTAAGGATCAAGGTGAGGAATGAATATATTCTTTGTAATACTGTAAGCAATAGCAATAAAACAGAAAAACTGTGGCTTCGGATAAGGTATTCCACTGAGAATCTCTAAAATGTAATCCAAGAAACGTTTCTGGTTTCCCTTTTAGAATACACTGGCATCACAAAAACAAAACTGAATTGTAAGTGGTAGGTAAAATACACACCTGGTGTTTTTGTTTACCTATTTGCACTTTGCTATGACTAATCAAACAAGACACTGTGACAGGAAAGGCTGATGATGAGGAACTACAGGGTCACCATTTTTGAATCACTCTCTGGAGAAGCCCACCCGCTTTCTTCAAGCATTCTTCTCTATGTCATAATCTATAAGGAGGGCCTCCCCGGTGGCGCAGCGGTTGAGCGCTGGGTTGCGAAGCTGCCCACAGCCTCTGCAGCGCCGGTTCGATCCCCGGCTGCTCCCTGGCCACCGGAGGAGGGTCCCACATGGCGCGCAGACCTCCCCTGCCGCCCACTGCTCCCCTCAGCAGTGTACTTTGGTCCTTCTGCCTGCTCTGCTCCCCGCTCTGGCTCTGGTGAATTCTCTCACCCTCCCGCACTTCTGACTGTACCCAGTGCATGTATAAACAACAACAAAAACAAACAAACAAACAAATAAATAAAACATGCCTCCATAATCTATAAGGATGGGAAGGGAAGCTTATTACCAGTGAGGTCAGAGGGCACCAGGTACTTCCTCTTGTCCAGATCGGGCACCCTGGCTTTCGGAGCCTTTTCCACGATCACCTAGGGGGAGAGAAAAGTAGCAATGAAAATTATAGAATTCAAAAGAGTGTTTTTTCTTCCAAAATCCTAGAGTTGCTCTACTTAAAGTGAGTTTGTCTAGAGCCACTGAAACTTCTCCATGTCTTATTCCTCCTTCACTCCATATAAAATGAGGGGAAATAGGCTTCCTTAGTAAGGCAATAGTTTTCTAACTTCAATAAAGAGATGCTGGAGAAAGCACTTTGATGAGTACTTTGATTTTGAGTAATGACAGGTTACCTTGCTGAATATATTCTTGCTTCATTTAATTAGAACATCAAGAAGACTGTCTGGGTTTTCTTAGATGGTCCCGAGAAACATTTAGTTTTGTTCTTTCCTTAGACATCATCGATAAAGTGGTATAAATTTTGTACTTTGTCAAAAAATTTCAAGTATTACTGCAAAAAAATATATTCAAGGCACTATGGAGTGAAATAAGTACTAAAAGGGATCCTTTAGTATGACATCCTGAAATATTCAGTACAATAATCCACCTACCAACATTAATTATGTTAGAATTTTAAAGGATTTTCAATGTCTACATTAAATATTTCTATGCTTCAAATATTTCTAAATATTTATAAATATTTCTATGCTTCAAATTTTTTAAAGATGATACATAAAGAAACAATGAGATGCATAAAATTTAATGCTTTCTCATTTGTAGCAACATGGATGGATCTGGAAGGGATTATATTCAGTGAAATAAGTCAGAAGAAAAAGAAAAACATTTGGATAGTTTCACTTATAGGAGGAATATAGGAGAACCAAACAAGGGATCAGGAAAAAACATAACTAGCAGGCAAAAGATAAATCACAGTCAGTTAGCTGTGGAGGGGAGGGACAGGGATCAGAATAGGGGCGGGAATAGCACACAAGACTATGGTGATGGTTCACAGGTGACTTGGTGGTGGGAATTCTATGGGGATTACACCTGAAAGGAACAGCAATGTAAAATATATATATATATATATACACACATATATATGTATAAAATAAATAAATAAAATCATGGTAACAGAGGGGCTACATGTCCACTTCGAGCTTGACCTTGGCTCTGGCAGATTTTGCCAAATGCACACCTTTTTACCAAGTCCTCATACAACACAGCAATTAGGAAGAAGTGGATTTTGTGTACAATTCAGTGGCATTTAGTCTAAAATGGTCATTTTTATGTTGTGCTTATTTTACCAGAATAAAAAGAAGGTATTCTCCTGATGCATTTGTTCATCCTAATGATGTCCCAAAGTCTGGACTACTTTGGACAGATATTGTATGACCCGTGGGTTTATATTGTTTGACTCAAAGGACATTGCTGCTGGACAATTGGTGGAAGATGAGGTATGAGGTTGTGTTCCCAAAATGACATAATTATGTAAATTAAGGAAAAAAATCACTAAAATTTGATTAAATATTTTAAAATGCAAAAAAAGTTAGTAGCTTCTTAGGTATGTAAACAGAAAATATTTAAACATATCTAAATTATATATTACAAATATGTATTTAGTATTAGTATATATTTATATATTATATCATATATATTATATCAATTATATAATATTTATATATTATATCAATTATATACTATAGTTGTTTAATCTCAACTGTAAATATTTAATATTCTAGAACATAACCATCCACTGTAAATGTTTACTTTAGAAAATGTAATCATCCTAGAGAGAAGATATGAGGATAGAAAAGTTAAAGAACAGGTGTGATCTTCAACAGGTCATCAAAATTAAACCTCTAGTGCTTCAGCATTTCAGGGAGTGAAAGTCCTGATACTAATACAGTGAACTGGAGTCATCTGTAAGATGTGTGTGAAGATGTCAGGTTTGAAGAACTCTCCAAACATAGGACTTAGAAAGGTTTCAAACTTTCAATGGAAAAAGGTTTAAAAACCTACTTTACATATACAGGGAAAAAGAATCCCATGCCAGTAAGACCAGAGGGACTTGATCACACTTAAAATTTCAAAATCTATGTAAATCAAGGTAGAAAAATGTAAACCAGGGGGAAAAAAAAAAAAAAGGGCAGGAAAAGCTTCCCAGGAGGGGTAGCAGGTTAATAAAATCAAAGCAGTTACTACTTCACAGGAACTAAGGCCTGGCAGGTCTGATCAGTAAGAAGCCATGAAAGTTTTTTAAAGGGAGCAGGAAAAAGAGCAAAAGCTAAGCTAAGAAACAGGCTGGGGTGAGAAATCACTACGGCTTTGGTTACTAGAAAAAAAACTTAGGTTTAAAGGAGGCTCAACTACTCGAGTGACCTTGGGCTAGATGCTTTTCCTGTTTGGTTCTCCAATCTGTGACATGTGGTTAACACTCTAAAAATCTGTTCACACACTTTAAAAAGGAGACAATCTGTTCCTGCCTTTTCCTGCTATGTTGTTAGTTTTTCAATTCACTGTAGTTATTAAAGAAAATTGCAGGACCCCATAAAACCCTCCTCTCTCAGGCATAAGCACACCTGTTTTTTTGGATGTAGCCACAGAGCTCGCAGGGTTAATTAAAATCCAGTAAGGTGACCCATCAGGGACTGAAGCATGTGACTGCTGTAACAACACCAGGCACGTGACTCCTGGCAGGTACTTCATTTATTCTACCTCCTCTTCTGCAAATAGGGCACTGTGGCACAGGCAAGATTAAGGGCTGTTCCCAGATCTAGCACATTTCAGAACTCTGAGACCATTGCTCTTCTCTCTGCATCCCAACCAGAAAAAAACTCACAGGCTGAGCACCTAAGAAATCGTGGGTCAAGAGGCTGATCTCTAGTTAAAACTTAACTAGAAGAACCATGAGACCTGAGGGATGGTCCTTGGAGTTTAGACATTACCATAAAACATTTACACCAAATGATGAGCAAGGAACGAATTGGGAGGATTAGCTAAAATATTCTGGGTAAATGCATATAAATGATTAAAATGGAAGAGCTCAGTTTTGAGAAAATATACTGGGATTTTAATTAGACTTAGGAAAAGATAGATTTCAGAATCTGTGACTTCTGCAGAGCTTCGCACTTGGAAATACATGGTTGTCATTTTGCTTTCTGGGTTACTTTTCTGGCATCACTCACTCTGTTACCCTCCTGGGTAACAATTTATTTCTCTATCTTCATTAAGGAGCAGAGTGAGGCACAGGTAGTGCACTCTTAATTAATTTGTTCTGGTACAGAACTTGAGAAACCTATAGCCTGGAGAGCCAAGAGGCTGCCTGGAGTCCCCACTTAACCACAGACCAGCAATGTGAATCCCTTAGGAAGCGACTTCAACTCTGCTTTGGATCCCTCACCGGTAGAATGGAGATTACCATGGTGTGAGGGTTAAGTGAATGAATCCAGACAGAGCACTTAGAATACTGCCAGGCATATGGTAATCAACAGAAGTTGTTACTTTTAAATATTACTGTACAAGAGTGAGAATATTATCACTAGGAGTCATCCAAGGTCCAGGGACCAGTAACCTGGAAAGTCTCCTTCACTGGATATAAAGCTCACACTCCTTGTTAACCAGAAACCTTTTGCCTGCGATTGCAACAGACCTAATCTAATGTCTCCTCTTCCTTACAAGAAAAGGATTCCCAAGGGTTTTTAACGCAGGCGTCTGGCCGCCCTCGGGTTGTCCTTGGTATCTGTAAAATCACAAAAGTTAAGTAAGGGTGGGACAGGTGTCCCAGAGTGTACCTGCAGGTCCAAAAAAGACATCAGATAATTGCAACTCCTTAACCTGTAAACCACATGCCATATGTATCATAATGTCCCTATCTTAAGATAATGAGCAATTTTAACATCATTGGCTCCTGCATCGTCCAAATGGAACTGCGACCGTCCCCTCTAGCACACTCTGCCTTTCAATCTGGCTGCGCAGCCAATATTAGAGGAAAAAACCAAGCAAGGGGCGGGGGAGGGGGGAACTAAAAAACGCCCGGATGCAGAATGATCTCTTAATATTTCTCTGCTCCTCCACTGCCTACACTGGTTTTAACTATACAAACCGGGGTCCTAAAAAGAGGAGAAAGCTCCTATCCTCCCTTACCGTGCCCAGGTACAATCTGATCGCAGTACGGGAGGAAGGCAGGCCGCCCCCACACGCGCCCCTGGAGCCAAAAATGATGAGGCAACCGGGCTTTAACGCAGAAAATTTGACCTTGTTTTCTAGGCCAGGCAAGTCTCGTGGCGTCCCCCACCCTATTCCTAATCCTCACAGAATAAAAGAATCCACATTCCCCTCCCAAACCCAATGCCAAGAGGTCAAAGTCGACTCTATTCGGGGAGAACCAGCTAAGTCGGAATTCGCTGGGAACAAACCCGATCGTCCCAATTATTCCCAGAACAATTTCCCTGCAACCTGAAAATCAACAAACATCATCCCCCAACCGAATCATTCTCGCACAAAAGGACCACGTCTGGAGACATCCCAGCCTGAACATCCTCGGGATACTGCTGAGTCACTCGAACGCACGTAGTCTCCGCTCTCAGGATGCGGCCAGCTGCAAAGATTGGGGTACCCGGCCCCGGGATACGGGCTTTAAAAGATCCGCAGTCCCAATGCCCGTCCACTGGCTCTCGCTGAGGTAAAGGGCGTTCGGAGCTGTCATTCTAGGGGCCTCCCTTCTCCGGAACCCCCTCTGCGCCCTAGGGCGGCCATGTCGCCTCCCCAGCCCCCCACTAATCCCGTCCCCTCCCAGCTGCCAGGACACTCACGGGCACCCGGTCCGGATATTTCTTCCGGATTTTCTCTCCTTCCTTTTTCCGATACTCAAAAGGATGGTCCTCCTTGTACTGGAACTTCATGATGGTCCGCAGGGTTTCCAAGATGCCCGCGCCGGGCCGGCCTGGCTCGCGGCTGCTGCGTCTCGCTTCCCCCCGCCGGGTCTCGACGGGGTCAGAGCCGCTTCGGGGTGTCAGGTGCGGCCGCGACGCCGCGGGGCCGAGCTTTGGGAAGGGATCTCCGGGCTCCTGGAGTAGAGGTAGGGGAGGGCCAGGTGAAGGGATCCCAGCGGCTTTTCCCTACAGCTGGGAACACAAAAACAACTCCGGGGCGCGTAGGTGCTGTGACGTCTCGAGGCCCCACCCTTGGGCCCGCCCCCCGAGTTCTAGGCCACGCGGAATAGGGGTGCACGACACCTCGTCGATTTCAGCGTAAGTCCTTTCTGGCTAAAATTTTCCTCTATAGAGTTCATTGCAAACATAAAATATTTTTAATTTCTCATCTTATCTTGATTTTGCATGATAGATGGCTCGAGACAACCAATGCAAGGCCCTCAAGTTATCTGCTCCCCTCTCCTTGGCTGTTCTTGGTTGAGCCCCAAAACACATACAGAAATTAGCAAGCCTTCTTTTTCCAGCTTGTTGGGATCTGTAGTCCTGAGGAGAAAGGGGTGGCGTTCTGAGATTGTTTTGGCCCCAGCAGAAATGCCCCCAGGACTGCATTTTGCCCTTTGCTCGCTCATCTGATCCGCCGGGAAAGCGAGGACTGGGCTGGCTTCCTGCAGCCATAACCCCTCTGTCACCTGTCGGCCTCAGCGTCATCTTGTTTGAGTGCATGTCGCAATTTGCTCCTGGAGCAGCAACATAAACTAAGCGTGACTCAGGGATTTGAAGAGATGTATAAGATGAAGTGTAATCAAAGTCCAGAGAAGTGATGTCAGTCATGGCTATTACGGGCTTCAGCCACGTTCAAATATAGAGATGATTCACTTTCTCTGGTTAACTCAAAAGTTGAGTCTCTTCTAGTAAAGAAAACATCAAGCAATTTAGGTGATTCACTCAGTAGTTCCCAAACTTTTTCCCCCCCAGCGAAAGTTCACCTGACCTATAGCAAGACAGGGTATTAAGTGTCCCTCACGAATATAATGTGCCCCCTGAGAGACTGGTGGAAGATTCTGGATGTTGGGCCAAGTGTCCATGTCACCTCCAAAGCTTTGGCCCATCCTTTTCCCCACTAAGTATCAAAACCTCTCCAGCCAACACTAGAGGCAGTGGTTCCACTGCAAACTACTCAGGTAGGGCAGTGGAAATTGTAAAATATAAGAGAGGAAGGCCTGAACAAGGCCAGGAAGCTCTGGAAAATACATTAGGTACCCACCGCTCCTACACTTACTTCCTTTATCTAGTCTCAGTGTCTCTGAATTAAAAAACAAACCCCTATATTTCATAATTAAAACAAGGAAAATGAATTGCTTAGCCCAACTTCTTGATTTTAATATTTTTCCATGTATTTTTCAATCCATTTTATGGAGGAAAAATCAAGACTTATTTTATTACATTCTATGTTTATGATTTGTAGTCCTTATTTTCAAGATGAAAATGGTTTCATTAATTCCTCCTCCCTCATTTTAGTTTTACCCAAATACAGCTAATTTTTTCCAATGAGTACTTTACAGTTGGAAAAAATAATTGTGATGGAGTGATATTTTCAGTGTTGTTTTGTGTCAAGTATACTGGAAACCAACAGAGCTTGTTAAAATGCTGCTTTAAACTTTTATATGAAAAGGATATAAGCAAAGTGGCAATTTGTATATGAAAAATAATTTACTGATAAAATTTCAGCGTATCTTTCTGCCTCAAGGCTTTCCTAAATGCTATCATTGTATCTTAGCATACCCAGTCTCTCAGCTTCCAAATTTGAGATCTACTTTTATTCTCAGCATAACATTTAAAATAGTATACAGAAACTAATTTTTTAAATTAACACAATCAGATAAAAGGATTTCAAAAATCCTTTTTTAACCAAGGGCAAAAATGCTCTCTTAACAAACCAGCCGTTCAAAAGCATTTGTTCATTGGTCATGGGAACAGAAAATGACACAGCCACTTTGGAAGAGAGTTTGGTAATTTCTTAGAAAACTAAACACATTCTTATAATCCAATCCAGCAATCATTCTTTGTATTACCCAGAGGAATTGAAAGCTTAGGTTCACATGAAATCCTGCACGCACTTGTTCACAGCAGCTGCCAAAAGTGGGAGCAATCAAAAGGTACTTCAGTAGGTGAAAGGATAAGTAAACCATGGCAGGCCCAGACAATTGAATATTATTCAGTGCTGAAAACAAAGGAATGAGTTGTCAAGCCATGAATATTATTCTTATTCAGGACTAAAAAGAAATGAGGGCCCTCCTGGTGGCGCAAAGGGTTAAGCACTGCACTATGAAGTAATCCCCAGCCTCTGCAGCATGAGTTTGATTCCTGACTGGCCAGGGAGCTACCCACATGGTGCGGAAGACCTCTCCTGTCTTGCCTGCTGCTCCCCTCAGCAGTGTATTTTAGTCAATCTGCCTGCTCTGTCTCTTGTGTATCCTCTCACCCCCTGCATCTCTGGACTGTACCCTAACTCCTGTATGCATAAATAAATAAATCTTTTTACAAAATGAGCTATCAAATCATAGAAAGACCTTAAATACATATTACTATGTGAAAGAAACCAATCCAAAATGACTAAAGACTGTATCCTTCCAATTATATGGCATTCTGGAAAAGGCAAACTATGGAGAAAAGGCAAACTACTTAATGTTCAGAGGTTCCAGGGGTGGGATAAGGTGGGGAGGGGAAGGGACTAGGCAGAGCACAGAGGATTTTAGGGCAGTGAAAATACTCTGTATGATAATATAATGGACACAAATCATTCAGCTTTTGTCCAAACCAGTAGGATATACACCACCAAGAGTGAGCCCTAAAGTAAACTGTGGATTCGGGGTTGATTATGATATATGATGTAGGTTCCTCTTGAAACAATATAAGTTGGGGCTGCCATATGGGAAATCTCTATACTAGCCTCCTAATTTTTTCAGTGAACCTAAAAAATGTTCTTAAAAAATAAGGGTTCTGGGCCTCCCTGGTGGTGCAAGGATTAAAGACAAAGATATCAAGCTATCAATAGCCACTGCAACATGAGTTCAATCCCCTGCCAGGGAGCTAACCCACATGGCAGAGCAGACCTCTCCTGTCTCCCCACTGCTCCCCTCAGCAGTATATTTCAGTAGTTCCGCCTGTTCTGCTCCCTGCTCTGTCTCTGGTGAATCTTCTCACCCCCTGCACCTTTGGCCTATACCCCAGTTGTTGTGTGCATAAATAAATAAATATTAAAAAAAAAAACAATAAGGTTCCTAAAAAACCCACATGTTCTCCAATATCCCTTTCAAATTAGTCTTCTCATCTAATGTGTTCTCCAGGGTTAGAATTTTTTTTCAAAGTTTCAAAAAATAGTATGGTACAGCCTCCCTGGTGGCATAAGAGGTTGAGGCACAACCTATGGAGTTCACCGCAGCCACTGCAGCACAAGTTTTATCCCCGTCCAGGGAGCTACCCACATGGCACAGTGAGTTTCAGTAGATCTGCCTGTTCTGTTTCCCATTCTGTCTCTGGTGAATCCTCTCCCCCTACACTTCTGGCCTTTACCCCAGTCCTTGTATGTATAAATAAATAAATCTTAAAAAAAATCTTAAAAAAAAATAGTATGGTAAACACCTATATACCCACCACTTGATTTTTTTTCCATTTAATAGTAAATTGGATGCACTGAAACTTCAGCTAAAACACCCACTGTGTTCCTCTTCAGAATAAGAGTATGTTTCTACATAATCATCAACTATTACAACTAACATTACCAATATTTTCCAACATCACCTAATTTCTCAATGGCTCCTTAAAATACTTTTAATATTTTCCCTCGATCAGGCATTTGAGTACGAAAGCTAGAACTCAATATAAATGAGTCTGAATTATTTTCTATTCAGCATTTTTTTTAATATTATATCCAAACAGATAGGCAAAACCAGACTTTCAGTGTATTGATCGCCAGTGAGAAATATAGTAACAAAAAGTTCAGTTCCTCACGTCATTTGCTAAGCCTGGCATTTTGACAAGGGAGTTATTTAATTTGAAGTTTTTACTTGTGTTGCAATCCACAAAACTAATGCCAGCTCCGCGGGGATGGGACTGGGTGACTCTAAGAACAGAAAAATGTCTTGCTTCTTGGACAGGGTGCTTGGGTGAATCTTCCTCCTTCTAATTTGAATGTACTCTCTTCTCCATCCAACTGTCTCTACCTTAGGTTAGTCTTGTTTCTCACTTGCTGATTACCTATTGCTCTACATAACAAACCACTTCAATCATGGGCTTAAAACAACATCATCCATTTTGCCTACTACCAATCTGAGGTTGGGGGTTCAGCTTTTCACCAAGAAACAATCTGGCTATAATAAAATTAAGAAAGTGTTGATCCCCTCTCTTCCCCCAAACATAGCGTTTATCCCAAAGAGGAATCATAACCAAGAGGAGGTCCTAAGTGTGTTCTAAATTTAAAAACTAAGCCTCCACTCCTTGCCCAGCAGGCAAGTTTGGGAGGCTTGAATGGAGAAAGGGAGAGGATGGGACTGCCAAGGGACCCTGGACATTAAGCTGATGATCAAGAGAGCTGATGATCCTCTGTGCTAATTCATAAGCTCAGTCAGGACACACCCAAGACTAGTCACCCTAACCCATCAAGGATGCCTGGGGCATATATATAGAGACTGGGGATCCTTCATCTCTGTGTAACAGACCCCTCTAGTCAGTGTATTTCAATAAATCCACCATTTCTGCTCTCTACTCTGTTTTTTGATGAATTCTTTCGCCCATGTGCCTGTGGTCTAAACCCTGAAACATGTTCCACCAGGGTGAGGGCAGGACAGTTTTAAAGGATCAAGCATGGGCGTGGTCTTACTAAGCTTACATCACATGTTCAAAATATTTGGATGGGTTCACGGGAGTCTTCAGACAAAAAGCTGTAGTGTGGAGTTTGTTGTAACAGTCAGCACATCGCTTTCCAGACTCTTTCCTAAGCCTTGATAAGGAGAGTACAGAGTGTTGCTGTTCTTTTGCAGTCCTTGATAAGGTGCAATCAGTGAGCTCTTTCAGAGGGAAGTCAGGCTGCTTTTCACCTAGAAATCTCACCCTGGCAGCTAAGAGGCCAGATGGAGTCTATTAACTGGAAATAGGTTCCACAAATGAGACAATTCTTTTCTGGACTCTTATTTGGGTTTAGACAGTAGCTGGGAATTGGATCTTCT